TCGTTGATTCAACTATTTCATTTTATTAGAATCTCAAATAGAATATAATTCTCATAAACGAATTAGCTACATTTGTCTCCGACAGCCCTAACGCAGTTGCGGGCAAGGGCCGGCTGTGCGTGTACTCACTGCTCGCCGCGTAGGAAGAAGGGGTTGAGCGCCAGCAGCGGGTCGAGCTTGCTGTCGACGTCGAAGGCGTTGTCGTGGAAGCTGGAGAAGTCGCGCGTCAGGATGCTCTTGGCCAGGTCGGGGTCCCGCACGAGCAGCGCCGGCTTGCGGAACTTGTAGATGCCCACGAACGGCTTGTCCGGGTGCTTCCTACACACGACGAGCGCCGCCGCTTAGCGCCAAGGAGCCGATTTATTTATTTACGTCTAAAACTGTTAAAAACTGTAAATGAAGTCGTAGGCTTCCCGGCCAGAGTCATGTGCGTGATCTGGGCTGTCCGGGTGACGCCGCGGCGAAGATTGTGTTGCCGACGTTTCAACCATCCTGTCGTGGTCTTCCTCAGGGCTGGTATGCGCCGTGATGGTCAGCGCTCGGGTGTATATTCACGTCTAGGCCGAGACCTATTGGCTGAAGCTTCGACGCGGCATCACGCGGGCAGCCCAGATCACGCACAGTTAAAAACTGTGTCTGACGTGCTATGGGGAGAAGTTAAATTATAGTTACATTTCACATTACATTACACAGAAGCGAAACAAAGAGCCGTCTCTGAATTTGCTCAAAGATCAGGGAAACTGGACGAAAAAATGATCGAGTTGGGGGTCATTGATCCAGAAGCTGAAGAAAAAGACGTGTTACAGGTTCTTTAAAATTGTACAATTCAAATGGTAAATAATACATTAAATGTCATTGTTAAAATTAATATTCCTATCTCTTTGAATGCTCAGTATAGTCTCTAACTGTATAGAAACAGTTGAGCAGCAGAAAACATTTTACTTGAGACTTAAACTTTTGTATCGAATTTAATCGTTTGATGTCATCTGGAAAGATGTTGTAAAATAATGTACATGTATTGTGTGTGAAATTTTTGTGGTGAGTTGTCGATACTGTCAGCTGATGAATATGATTACTTCGTCGAGTGTTGTAGTTATGGATACCAGCGTTTGCTGAAAATATATTCCCGCCCTTAAGTAAGTCATTTTTAACAAAAACCACTTTCTTAAGCGGTCATCGCAAGCGAATTTGAACTGTATTACAGCAAGAAGCGGTGAAATTATGGATATCACTATTGATGTAATATCTCTCCAAGATTATTTCGAATTATGTCATCCGTAGTTCCTTATCTGGCTGGGGGATTACTTTCTGTTTGAGGTAACAACAGATGATTTTTATAAATACATATTAATGAAACATCAGCACGGTCGTTTCTCCCTTTTCACAAATTCTATGGTTTGCTAATTAGTGCTTTTCAGCAGCTTTGCTGCTGTGGAGCAGAACTGCTAAGAACTAACGGAGTTTGCCTCGTATGCGAATCCGAACTAAAGGTAATTTACGAGAACTAACTTCTTCGTCAGACAGCCCTTCTACAGGCATTTACCACATCATCAGTGTTCCCTCTCAGATATAAAAAAGAAAGTATATGACAAAATTGTGAATATACAGAAGGATTACGTAAATTTAGACAAAGATAAAATGAAATAATACAGTTAAATAAAATAAAACTAAACACCCAACATAACAAAAAAAAAGCCATGCTTTGTACCACTTTGCCTGCGAATTCAAAAACCATAAACATGAATACAAACTACTCTAGTATAGATGCACTAATATAATTCACTCGGTCGTATATTGGTTTAAATTCTGACCTAATGTCATAGACTTATCCGTTAAACTTCACATTTCTTCTGTGAAAGCCAACCCATATTACTTGACCCTGATTTATAACCATGACACTCGCTACGAGAAAGTGTGTGTTACATTCAGTGTTCCTTGTTCGGTTAGCGTGTTTGGGGAAATAGGACCTATAAGTTTTTTCATTCGCTGTCTTGGACTCTTCACTGACAGCTGCAATATGACGTAGCCGCTTTAATGTACAAAGCATTTCAGAATAAGAAAGAGTTGGCAAACTTTCTGTATGTGTATTTTTATTTATTTCAGAGTATAATCTGAAACAATTTTGTGATACGTTTCGAAATATATTTTCATTTGTTATTGTCCAAACGAATAAAGCATAGAGCAATATATTGACACATTAATATCCATTTTTTAATAAAAAAATACTCGCATACTAGTTTAGCATTCTTGTAATACACACAATAGTACCTATCATAACATAATGTTTTATTGCATATACGGGGCATTTCAGCCATCAGTCAAGTATCCAAAAAGGCGGTTGATAACGCCAAGATGATGTTTGGGGTCTCACCGATAGATGTCGCGGTAGATGTTCTGGATGGCGGCAGTCTGCAGCAATAGGCGGCCGTAGTTGCCGACGAGCGGCAGGCCGGGCTCCCAGGGCACGCGCAGCTTCGCCCACACGCCGCCGCGCCCTCGCAGCAGCAGCAGCGCCAGCAGCGCCACGGCTCCCGTCGCCAGCGCCAGCGCCAGCATCCTGCGCCAGCCGCCACACGCCCACTTACATCCTTCCTCGCTTACCCCTCCAACTCTTCCCCTCTCTGCCTTTCGTTTTCCATTTCCCTCTCTCTTCCTCTCTACATCTCTACTTTTAATCATTCTATCTTCTTCCCTCCCACTTTCTCTGCCCCTTGATCTCCCCCTGCCGATCAATCCACCCCCTGCGTTTTCTCCATCTCCTCCCTCCCTCCCTCTCTCCCCCTCCCTCTCTCCCTCCATCTCTCTAACTTTCTTTTCACCAGACTCTCTTTCTCTCCGTCCCTCTCCCCCCTTCCCCGTGTTTCCCAAGCTTTCACTCTCGTTCCTTCCTTCTCCGTCATACTCTCTCATTTACCCTCCAATGGCGCTAGCCTGCGCCCTAGACGATCCCTGACAACCGCACGCAATACTGATCTGGCCGAAATGAACGTGAGAACACGATGGAGAAGAAAGGATTGACGGGGGGCGGTAGTCGTTTTTATTTAAGGCAGGGATTTCCAATTTTTTTCTTTCGTAAGCCCCTTTTATGATAGTTTTCTTCATCGATTCACTTTATATTTACTCTATACTATACAGCATCCACAATAAGGACACAAATAATATTGCACGTAATTGCCTTAAAGATAATTTCATAATATATTAATATTGTTGTAAATATCTTGATTTTTTGCTTACCAGATACGTTTCCGCTTGTGAGTAGATGCGTTTCTAATACATGTTTAAGTGCAATGTTTATAAAATGTTCAGTGTTGTGATGTCCAGAAATGTCCAAAACATTATTTTCTCCATTGTATTGAGCAGAGTACTTTCTTGCGTGATCGTGTATTGTTGTGACCGCCTATCCTATAATTTATTGAGATTTCTAAACATCCTAATTCCTCAATTCCAAATTATAAAATACGGATACTAAAGAAGAGGTGCGAATTTGTAATTTGTTTTAGTACGTTTTGTTGCTTTATATCACAAAACAGTTAATTAAGTTCACTAATATTTTTTGCAGATAATGGGATCTTGATTATATCGATAACGCACCGGTTCATATTTCGGCTATTAACCATGGAACCCTTCAAAATTTCATCGATTCCCATGTGGTTTATAGCGGGGTATTACCCCTGCATTCGTCTAATACGTTGAAACCACATAATGTTACAACAGTTCAGCCGGCTTCTAGATCTAAACCAGACGTTGTCAGATTCCTACTATTTAGCTGTTTTCGAAAATACCAAAGATATTAGACTCCTAAATTGATCGTGGAATTTTAAACATCAATTTCTCAATTCGATTATTTGGTTCTCCCTTATCTCTTGATACTAACCTTGGATACGACGCGTATAAAAAATACTGGGATCAACGTTTTTTGATCCTCAGAAATGTGTGTATTTTCTGATGATTGAGATTTTCTTTATCTGTGAGTTTGTCTCTGATCTCGGCTTATTGCAATCTACAGAAGACGTTGCCCGACCGTCTTTATTTTCTACAAAGAATTATATTCGGGAGCGAGTAACATTGTTTCAATTCATTTGTACTATTTTCATAATCAGGGGTGAATTAATGTGTAAGTAATCAGGCATGTGCTTACACCCCCCCCCCCCCCGCCCTTACTTCGAGGTCCGAATTATTGTTTTAATAAAATTTTATATCAATTCATAACTAAGCACAAACATTTTGATTTGATTTTTATTTATTTTCGTCAAAAAACAGTAAACACTATAAGTTACTACGGGGGAAAAGTATAATCTGCGCACGATTTTTTGAGCTCCAGAATTTCTCTCCCGTTCTTTCATTATAAATAATTGAATGATTAAAGTGTCACGAACGCAAGGCAAGCGACATTCGAAAACAATGACTTTTCACTCCCGTTTTATAGAAAACTTATTTGCATCGATCATTTTAAAATTAAATTTTAAAATTTCAAAGATTAGAGTTAATTTTATTATTAATGATTATGACTTGTTGATATTTCAATATTATTAGAGAATCCCATAATTTCATTATGGTTAAAACCCCCTTCAAGTTATTAATCCGGTAGTGCACGTTTCACTTCAAACTGCTTTGGGAACATCCCTTTTTTGACCGTGCATAAAAACAGGTCAAACGACGCATGACATCATGTCTCCATCTACGCGGAGGAAACTTGAACCCAAAGGTTGTTAAATTTAATCCCATGTCCAGCTGGAGTTGAAATAAATGTGTGCGTGGTTTTTTGTAATCAACTGGGCCACACGAGCAGAGTAAAATTTTACTCAAAATTTCACACCCTAGTACGTACGCATTTGAGTTTTAACTATTTACTCTGCGAGGTCATTAAATTCTAATGAATCTGTATAACTTCCTGTATGTAATTTCTGGCCTCTGACCAGTTCCGGCATTTGTTAAGGATGTCAAAAATCACAGGAACTACTTTATTTAATATAATGTTATGTTTGCTAATAACAAACGTATTATTTGTTTTAATTTGTTTTTTTAAGAGGGCCATCTTAATAATCATCAGATATATACTGAACGACGAGAGTATAACACAAGGTTAAATCATACATGGAAATGTTCTGGTAAGAAAAATACCAATGGGTTCACGTGATGAATTATGACGTGACAATTATTGTACAAGATGTGTTACGTGGATAGATAAGAAAAAGTTGTAATTTTGAAATTTATAAAAAGTCGAATTTTTAAAAATCTACAAATCCGTGGTCGATAATCTCTTTAATCGATAAAATCTTTAGCACGTTTTACATGCCATTTAAATTTATCCACAAACTACCCATTTTCTCAAAATAATATAAGGATATAATTTTGAAGAATGATTTCTTCTTTTTTTTTTCATTCACAGACACTACAACATTCAGCCGCGTGGATTTTCAATTAAATGGCGGAGTAACTTTGTATTAGGGAAATATGAAGGGGTTACTTGTCCAATCCATGATAGTCATTTCGTTAGAGGGCGATGACAGGGTTTAGAAAGGAACACGTCAGGTGAGACAGATAAATGCAAGAAACATTCTAACCTAATGTCGGAGAGATATTAAAAGAAAATGTAAAATGGGAGTCTGTTTCTTAGGCGGGAGAGTAGGGGTTGATCAGTTCCTATTTCGTTAGTGATTTAAATTATTGTAGAAATTATGTACCATAAAGGGGGAAGTAATTGGTTCTATTGCAAGGTCGTTGTGGTTTCATGTCTGACAAACCAAGGGATATTTACTATTATTCTTCGGATTTTTTAAAAGATTTGTAAGTTATTTAATGTGTTTGGGGCAGGTAAAATCCATAAAGGACATGCAGAAGTTAATATCCGACGAAGAAAAGATTTGTAAATAGCTAAAGAGAAGAATATTGTTAGAGTATTCCATACCAATTTAGTGAGATGGTTTAGAATAATTAAAGATGTTGTCATTGCCAACAATGCATCTTTAATTATTTTAAAAATGCCAAAGATATCCTACCACAACACCTATAGATGGTTTAGTGCAAAAAAATCAAATGAGGAAGACGATGTTTTGTCCATAAACGTCTGGTTTTATTCTTATGAAATATGAAATTACTACGTAAGTGCTTAGGTAACGGATATTTTCAGAGCACCCTGCGAGTATCAGTTAGGGATTTAATTGAATTTGTGTTGGCATTACTGAACAAAAGTCTGCCTTGATCAATTTCTGATGGAGGTTTTAAATTCAACAAAGGAAGAAGAAACGACGATAACAGATTTTTATGCCAATTTATGTGCTTGTAGATAAATGCGGAGGAGAATTAGATAATGAACTGATTAATTTAGAGGTTGTAATCATGAGTTATGATCTAAAACTAGTTCGCAGATAGAAATGCGAATGAAGTGCAATATTTAAATTTTTACCGCAATATCTACTCTGGCGTTTGTGAAAATTGCAACACACAGAAGAAATGGTCGGAATCGCTTAAAAATTGGTGGATGTGTAGAACAGTGTATCCACAAGAAGTGACTTAATTTGCATAGCGATGGCGCGCGCGTTGGCCTGTCATCGCCCTGCTCTGCGGATTAGGCCATCGAACATGTCTGGAATATGATCGGTCGGCAACTTGTTCGTCCTAGTCCTCGTGCATCCACTGTCGATGCTTTGTGGTTAGTACGCCACACTCAGTCGGTCATCAAAAACCTACCAAACGCGACTGATGATTCTAATAACAGCGCGAATTCGAAAAAGTAATTTACTACCTGTTAAAAAAAAGAAAACATCCACTTTTATGATACCAGGAACTCACAAAAGATGTTTCTGTCGAAAAATCAGAACTTCCACTGTAGTTTACAACAATCTGTCTAAATTACGAAGAGGTAAAGAGAAGTGCAATATCTAACTTGTTATATAAATTCATACAAAATCAGGAATTTGTGGTGTAGTACAATTAAAGCTGTTTTCAATAAAAACTCGTTTAAGTTTCAATAAAATTGTTATACGGTATTTTCAATAAGGTTTTCTCACTGTGCATTTGTAAAAGATTATATCACCCATGCGTACTGGAGGTCATTCAACAATTATGGTTACAAAATACTCAAACATTTCATTGATAAGACAAATATGTGTTAAAGATAGTTCACAAAAGAGATAACGTGATAAGATGTGAATCTTTCACGTCACGTAGATTGGGTAGTCAGAGGGAATCTTTGGTTTATCTCTGTTAAGACGTTTGGCCGTTTCTGAGATACCTGGAATTTGGGTGTAATCCTGCAATAACATAGGGTTTGAGTACCTTAATTTATCTATGTGGAATTTAATAAGCCGTGTTAATTTATTAAATTTTCTTTTAATGTCCGTCCTTCTAGATCTTCGTCAGTTACGCGTATTTTTCAATTTAATTAAATTATTGTTTTGGGATCTTAGTTTGGGTGTCCTTCAATTATAATTTCCCTACTTCTACGAATGCTCTTCTTTGATAAGAAACCTTAAAAAACGAAATGAATTTTTTAGAAATAAATTTTATAACTATCGCATGAAACTAATATGAATGTTATTCCTCAAATGCAACATA